CTGCTTAACGTAACCCATTAGCCAACACTAGTTGATGCCATAACCATCTACAAGAGAAAACAGCATATTTCAGTAGCACTTTATTTTACAGTCCTGTTCCCCATGTTCATACTATGTACTTATTGTAGTAGTAATTACAATAACCAGGTAATAACTACTACCCCAAAACCTTCCTCTAACCCATGTAGTTACCTTATATTACCCAGTACTTTCTTAAGTAAGTACACGTACTGTAAGGGGAAGTACTGTAAAATAAAGTTCAACACATCTTTCTCCATCTCCAATTCTTCCTCAATCTTCGACCAGTCAGCATTTTCATGACTTTATTTTCTTATGTCTCCAGAATGATGAGTCACATGATATTTGCATTGTTCTGAACATATCAAATTAAATGTAATTAAAACGTACTGTACTGTTGATGAAAACAGGATGAGAAAAACAAAAAAGTATTACCAATGCACTAATGTTTTATTACTGTTGTTTCTCTTTTAAACCAATTTCAAAATTCAAAATTTTAAACCAACACCAATTTCAAACCCCTAATTTATAGACAAAAAGATTCCCCCTAATTTAGTCAAGAGTAAAATTGCAAAGCAAATAAAAAAAATCGTAATGCTGTTTAAGTGTGATCTATTTTTTTCTTGCTTTCCAGGATTTTAATGTATATGTCACAACACACACAAAAAAAAATCAACAAAAAAATGATATTTCTACTATACATAGGATTTTTTTTGCAGTGACTAAAATAAATGAATAAGACATAAAAATATATTTTAAATGTAGTCAGTATATTGACAACAAAGGACAAATACTATAACTAACAAAACACTTTGTAAAAACAAAAGCTACCAATAAAGATGTCGATTTCAAATACTCACATACAATAAATTGGTATAAATGGAATATAAACGGAAATACTAACAATCTCCAGGTATTATAGACCACCTGATGCGAAACAACCACTTTATGTTCAACACATCAAAAATCGGGAAAGTGGAATTACTCTTTCCCCCATAGGGTTACATATCGTGCTAAGTCTTTGAAGGTCTTTGAAAGACCAGGTTGGTTGGCAGTGGACAAAAAAAGAGGGTCAAGAATGGCCAACATTTCAAGAGAGAAACTCATGAATAAAAAAATAAAATATACTGTAACATTTTAATGTTACTAAACCCAGCAACCCCCCAAGCCTTTCTTTCTGGAATGGAAGAAACAGCAGAAGTGTTATGTGTGCTTCTCCTGTTTTTCCTCACCTCCTGCGCTCAGTATTTCAGTTTATCACTCCTGCTCAGACACAGTAAACAACACCATAAAGCAAACGACAAAAAAAAACAAAGGGCTTTCATGCAGTCCAGCTACCACCTCCGCTCCCTGGTACACTTATGGGTAACTTTCTTCTCAGACTTACAAAACTTAACAAGTATTGTATGGATTCAAGTCTGATGATCATCTACAGTGCCACCCACCCACACTTCTGTACATACACGGACATATTCGGGCTGACAGGAGCTCTAAGAAGGGGGGGGGGGGGGGGGGGTGGAGACAGGTGTCTGGGTCTCTGGGAGCCAGACACACACAGGTGTTAATTAGACAGACAAAAGTGTTTGCAGAGTCTGACGCAGCAACCCTTAGGTCCACTGTTGCCAAGATATAGCAGGGTGTCAAGGCCTGCCAGAACTTTCCATCTCTCCATCAGTCAAAGGCAGACTGAGGACCTGCAGACAAGACAAAAAGTTGATTGAGTGAATGCTAATAAGCTATCAGTTGCTGTTCTACTCCATTTTAAGCAAGTCAATCTATTTGATGGGCATTTTGGTGTTGCCCCAAGGCAACTCCTTTCTACTTGATTGGGGAAAGACACATTTCGGGTCCTTCCCAATCAAATAGAAAGGAGCTGCCCCAGAGCTGCCAAGAGTTTATATAACATAATAAATGTAGCTTCTTTAGCTCAAAAACACTATCTCTCAGGCTGGTCCAGATAATTCACTGCATTGTGAGATGTACAAACAAACCTCTATCAAAAGCTTGATGTATCATATTTGATACTCACATTTTAATGTGATTTTTCTTTAAAATGGTATATAAATAATTAGGTAACGCTAAGTTGCTTCTGTCCGGTAAGTGTTCAACTTTATATTTTACTTACAATTCAAAAGTTATTTTAATTTATAAAAAAACATCGGTAATGATAAAGACATGTACCAGGACTTGGTTTTATAGTCATTTTACTTACTAAAATAGTGTAAACTAGTATGAATCAGAGGGCAGAAGGCATGTAAGCTGGAAGACTTTATTACTTAGGCTGTTTTTCATCTGCTGCATTACTTAAGCTCACTAATGATGTTTTTTTTTTTTTACAAAGCAACAAGAAACAAGTTAGAAACAAGAGAGGCAGAAGTTGTTCAAACCTGAAAATCCGAAACCTGGTGGCTCATTTCTTATTTACAGAACTAATTTACATTTAACAGAAAAGCATGCTGAGGCAGAAAATTTTAGTACACCCACGTTCAACAAGTCCTTTTCTCTTCTTTCTCTGATGTAAGACATTGCTAGGACTTTCTAAAATGTTTTTTTATGGGTTTTTTTAATGGCCCCTTTTAATTTATGAGCTGAATCAACACTATCTCATGACCAATTCGTACGAATTCGACGCATGATTAAAAAGTGGCTAATTTGTACGACCTCACTCGTACTAATTCGTACGATTTGTCTAAACCCACGTGATGGTTAGGTTTAGGGGCGGGGTAAGGTTTAGGTCATTCGTACGAATTCATACGAATTGGCCAATTCGCAAAATATGTACGATTTAGCCAAATCGTATTAATTCGTACGAGTGAGGTCGTATGAATTGTTACGAATTAGCCACTTTTTAATCATTCGTCGAATTCGTACGACTTGGTCGTGAGAACAGGCTGGCTGAATTGGCCAAGTTGGCGGTTGGAATTTGAAATAGTATGACAGATTGAACTGAATAACAATTCAAAGAAAGAAAAAAAAAGGTCCATACAGTGAAAGTGAATTCATTATTAAATATAAAGAAGTGTATATAAATGAAGTACACATTTCTAACATTTCATTTAATTAAAAAGCATTCGCTGTTAAAAAAAAAAAATCTAATTTGAATGGCGCGAGTCACATGAAAAGGCCTAAATTTCGACATAATTTCCTTCACTGGCATGTTGAGCCTAGCATTTTTTTCCCATTCATTTTTTCAACAGGTTGCATTTTCTGCAAACCAGAAATAGCCAATTGTCTATAACCTTGTACTCTCAAAATTTTAGCTCAGACTTGAGACTTAGTAACGGGCCAAGAACTCTCCACGTGAATTCATTCACAAGCAGGTAATACAGATTCCCTAATTACAGATAATGGTAAATAAGTGTTCTGAAACTTACGGCAGCAGCTGTGGTGATCGGTTCCCCCTTGTAGAGCGGCTCGAGAGACAAAATTCACCAGAGAGTAATTGGAGCATGAATTCGCTCATTTACTTTGACTTAACGAAGCAGGGCCATGTACAGCAGCACAGCGCCGGTCCTCTGATAATAAATAATGACCTGTCAATTATTCACAAGACTGTCACAGGGATCTGCGGTGCATTACAAAGACTCTGTGTCCTGCAGAGTTACACACAAACACACACTTTGTTTTACCTCTCGCTCGCATGTACGTGTACTGTAGACATGGGTGCACACACTCTTCAGTCTTGCTGCTTCTTTCCCGTGCTTCCCCAAGCACGGATACACAAACTAAAAATAGTTCCCCTTTCTCTGTCAATGCCACATCTGAAAAATCCACATCCTCTCTCACATCAGTGTGTACAGATGGAGCTGTGCTTCCTAATTGAAGGTGTTAAGTGGACAGCTTCTTGCCGGAGGACACGTTTAATTAGACAGTGGATGCCAGGGGAGACATGGAGGCAGACAGAGACAGTAAAACGCGGATGCAGAAGGACACTTAAACGTTGCTCGCGTCTCACTCCCTGACCAGACACAGGCTGTTCACTCTCATGTACACAATTATCTCTGCACTCTGTTGACGGGACTTTCATTCCACAGTCCGGACCTTCACTGAGCACTAAATCCGGTTGTTCATGCTCTTGCGCATCAAGGAGACCTAAAATACCTGGAGGTACGTATCCCTTAGCATTCCAGTTCATCTCGATGGCTCCCCGAAAAAAAGAAGAAAACAAACTCATCTTTGAGTCATCTTTGTTATGCCTGGTTCAGATTGCACGATTTTAGCCTGATTTTGACTCGATCCGTTTGACGTAGGTTGTCATGGGGATTGGTAAATGACAACGGGCGTCGGGCCGCAAGATTCGATCATATCATCTCGTATAGTGTGTCAAAGTGGGCGACAACCAACGTCGCATCTGCGATGCTTAACGACATCACGACAAAAAGACTAGCATGTTTAATTTTTTTAATGGTCGTCCACGACGGTTCCGTCACATGTATGAGGTTGACCAATAGGAGCACAGAAGCTTTTCCGTACACAACTTTTAAAAAATGGCGAAACGAAAGAGAGATGGTGCTAACGTTAAAACTAAAAGTAAAAATATATAAGAAAACAATATTTTACCTCAAGTTCTCTTTGAAGGATTGACAGCCCATACTGTCCTCTTCGAGCAGGATTCTCAAGTCTCACACAATGGCCGTGAGATACACGCAATTCAACAAGTTCACACGTTCACATGCTCACATTGAAAAGGCAATGCCAAGCAATCCAGGAACGTGTCCTATGTCGGGTTTTCTTTCTTTTTTTTACTTTTTTTCTGAACACAGGACAGCCAACAATACAACACTCACCGCTTCATCCATTGTTTGTTTACGTTCGTTTCCGGAATTCACTCGCTAACTTTACTACTGTAGTTTGGCTTTCTTGATGACATCTTGTGCACCGCTACAGACGGCATGCGATGGCTGGTCAGGAAGCGTGTAGTCTGACATGCGTCTTGTCCACGACATTACAAGATTTTAGGAGTCAAATTCGCGTAATCTGACACAGTGACTATCGTAACAGACAAAAAAAAATCGCGTAATCTGAACCAGGCATTAATGGGACCACAGGACGTTTTAATGTCACAATAAATGGCTAAATTACATTGCTCATCAATGGGGACTGTTTTATTATCGTTAACAAAAAGTACTTGAAAACATTTTTGATAACTGAAATAAAAATAAAAAAGTTTAAATAATTAAAAAGTAAAAAGTTGGATCAAATAATTTAATTAAAACCTATAATAGAGCAAGATACATGGTGTAAGATACTTTTACTTTCAAACCATGTACTGTGGTTATAGCACCGACCCGCAGACGGGCCATTCTATTCAGCCAAACCTTGACCATTTGCCAGGAACACTCAGACTGATGCCCCCCTGCATGACTGACTTTATTAGAAGATGGCAAGGGAGATTGTGAGATGCTCCAGCCAAGCCCATGTCTCGGGAGTCTGTGCTTTAATCAGGATGGGTCACGTTTGTCTCCGTCTGCTTGGGGTGCCCTAAAGGGACATAAAAGTTTTGTACTTAATCTTATTGTCTGACAGATTAAAATCTAGAGGGAAATGCAAAGACAATAGAAAAGGGGCAAGCAGGTTCTTCTGTGACAAATTCTTTGACTTGTGCTCCTGATGATAATCCTCTATCGCGGAGCTAATGTGTGAAATTCACTGCCGTGAAAGCTATTATTTTTCCCAAGCGTTATCTACCTTTCAGTGCAACGGTGGTCTCAGAAAGTCAATGGACAATTGAAATCAGAGATGGGGGAGACAGCTGTTTGCTCCAATCTGTCGGCCAATGGAAAAATTTTCACTTTCCTCTTAACCATAAAATTGAAGCTATCAAGGCCTCATTGGCCTCCCATTACACTTCAACCTGCAGGAGTTTTATCATATGTCAGCATCGCTCCTTCCCATCACTGTCTTAACCTCTCCTTTCTTCTCTCATCTTCTCTCCTCACATCTGCATATGTCTTGATTTTAACTGCATGGGATATTATCTTTGACAGGATTCCAACTAGTCTGACTCAAATCAAGGCTTCAAATATTTGAACTCAAAATAAACCTGTCAACTGTGAATTTCTCAGGCCCTGATAAGCTCCAAATGATATAAAAGACAATGACTATAAATGGGATCTAATCATGTCATTCCACCAAACTTTGGAGTGAAGAGCAGAGAAGATTTGAACTTTGATGAAATTTAAAAGACTGTGAGATAAAAAAAACTCTTGATTCAATATTAGAGCAAGATCAACTTTATTATGAAGCAACAAGCTAGGCTACTTAATTTAGCTTTTGCCACCAAGCTGTACAGACAAAGAGAAAGGCGAATAGCCAGATAGATAGAGCGACAGACAGGCCGATTGAATGACAGATAGAATGCTGGATGGATGGATAGATTAGTTTTATGATTTATTTATGAACTTTTTGAAGCGTCAAAGTGGTATTTGCATTGCTGTCAATAGAGAAGTTTTTTTTGTTTTGTTTTTGGGGGGGTGAACTAACAGTAAGTGATTGAGACCACAATGACGAGAACACCAAATGTCCTCTCTGCCATCAAAGCGCTACAGAGGACATGTTGGTTGATGGTTCACGCTAATCCTCGAAGATACACGGATCAAGGAAAGCCACTGCCATGTTTCATCATCTCACTCACCGTCTCTTCATAAAAAAAAAAATATCTTGGATCCATTCCTCGGGAACAGGATTTTTTTAATGACATCTGTTTCTGGAGCAAAATGCCAGGGGTAAAGACGAATCAAACAAAGCCCGCAAATAAATCTAATTAGAGAAAAATCTGCTTGTGTGCCTGTAGGTCGAGGATTAGCCAGATGTTGTTATGTAATCTATACTTATCAGAAACTACATTTTGAGTTCTGTTGCTAAGAATCGCAGATCGCACGGTAAACCTGGGGGTTTATCTTGTGACGGATGGCAATATGTTCCCGTTATCCGTTCCCCCTCTCTTTCTCTCTCTGCTTCTTTTACATACTTTTGGTTACAGGCACTCGTTTGAGAAGGTCAACCAAAGAGGAGCGCTGGTTAGAACACTGTCACTCAAAAAATAGACAAGAAACCTTTCATTTCCTTGAGGAACTGTGTTACAGTCTTCTCATATTCATATGGCCCTTAGTTCTGGATGTCATTTAATCACAACCATGGCTTGTCTCTAAATATGGCTTTTCTATCTGTTTTATCGTCTGACATGCCAAATATAGTAAGACATTTGAAAAAGTATAGGCTACAACATCTTATCAAGGATCAATCCCTAGAACAAATCCTGCGGGACAATTTATTTGCCATTTAATACTTAGGGTTTTGTTAAAATACCCTACATGAGCAGTAATGGTGACATAATAAAGTAGCCTAATAGTGCATTCATAAAAACTTTACTCTAGATTCTAGAATAGTAAATATCTCTACAGCCACTGGGGGAAAAACAGTAATAATCTAAAATAGAGTCCAGTTAATTCCAGATATAATAATTCTGAAGATTATTTCATCCTTTGTATTCACAAAATCATATTTCAAGGTAGAAATATTAATACATTCTTCACCCTTTTTCTCTCTCATTTAGACTCTGTTTTATGTTGAGCTGCTGCTAATGAGCGATAGAGACTTTGAAGAGATCCATTACCATTTGAAAGGCATGAAAACAGAAATCCCTAAATAGAGTTTGAGCTTAAATGAAAATAGTGAAGCTTTTAAATAACTGGGTGGCGTATGCAAAGGAAGACGAGAAGTTGAATTTCCAAATTCTATAAACTAACAATTCCAAACTCAGGTATAAGGATGACATAAGGTTTACACACACTGAATACGAGGCATAAACACCATACATAAGCCAGAACTGACCAAGACTAACTGAAAATAAGGAAACTAAATACAGATACTAATTAACAGAAACAGGTGGCACAGATGATGCCAATGACTAAACACGTGTGATGATGATGACGACAAGCAGGTGTGTAGACAAGAGGGATGCTGGGAAGTGTAGTGAAGAACCGGAGACAAGACCGACTGTGACAAACTGCAACATCATGTGCAAAGATGTCCACCTGACAAGTTTGATCGTGGTCCACCTTGAAGTCTTTGAAGACTTGGTGTGATTTTAGATTTAGAAGTTTAAAACATACCTTTGAGTTTTGGTCCTTTAATTTTGCATGCTTTAATCTTCCATTATTTAAACATTAATGAAATATTCGCCCTGCATAGAAGATTAACATCATCAGCAATCACTATGTACATTTAATGAGATGTCACCTAAATCGACTTTCTCTTTTGAGTAATTGTCTTTTAATCATTGAACAAAAGGTTGGAAATACCTTTTTTTGTGCTTTCAAAGGATTAGTCCACACAAAAATGAAAAATCATTTATTCATCCATATGTTGTTCCAAACCTGTATGGCTTTCTAATTCTGTGGAATACAAAAGGATACAAATATTACTGAAATTAATGGGAAGTGGAGTTTTTAAGCTTCAAAAAGATTCAAAAGAACCATAAAAAGTCAAACATCTGATTTTGTTTGAGGGGAAAAAATAAATAAAGTTAATAACTGAAAATTTTGCACTTCAGTGAGAAATAAGCCTATTTACAATGAGTTGAACAGAACTTGATTTATTCAAACTGGATTTGGAGTCTGGATAAACTGATTCATTGAAAAGATTAGACTCAAGAATTGGACAATGGCTGCGTCCAAAATTGCATGCTCTCTTGACTAGGTATTTATTTTGAATAAGTACTTACTTAAATTGCGAGTGCTGAAAAGGTATGTTTCCTTTCATCCTGGGAACTCCAACTATTTGGAACTACAACCCTATTGTAGGGAAGTATGCAATTTTGGACGCAGCCATAGTACTAAGATAAAGGTGAATGTCAATAACAGTGACAAAGATTATGGTGTATTAGTCCCAAAAAAAGTATCATATGGCACACAATTGCTTTTGTGTCTTTTTTTTTTTTTTATTTAAAAAAATTGACCAGATTCAAGGAATGTAATGACATGAGGGACTTTTCAATTTTGGATGACCTATCCCTTTAAGACGATTCCGGAGCTGATCCCTTTCCCCTCATGAATTACAATGTGCCTGGCCATCAGCGGAAAGGTGGGCGTTCTTTACTCTGATCTGACTCTATAAACCGAGAAGTCTCTGAGATTACAGACCCCAGAGATTTCTACAATAAGAGGAGAACAAAAGCTATGTATTTTAAACAGACGGTGTAAACAGGAGGCGTATAAATTATATATAATTGTAGGAAGAGGCACTTCATATAGATGAATGCATTTCCTCTCTGATGGATCTAGCTGGAGTGTCAGACAGCGCCAGTGGTCATCAGCTGTGCCGGGCCGACAACACTCAATAAAAGCAGCCGGTCTTATATTTACATTCAAATATGCTTAGATCAAAATGAACCCCAGGGAGACACGCGCCGTCAGATTGAAGAAGTTTCAATTCTCACTTTGCCTCAGTCTCTCTCCTCAGGCTGTCTTCCTCCATCACTCCTTTTCTCCCTCCCCCTTCCAATCTTTTTATTTCCTCCCTCTCTGTCTGTGCATTCCCTCTTTCATCGTCACTCTTTCTGAAACCTCTTTTTTATACTCCTCACATTATTCATTGTTCTTAAAAAAAGACCTTTCCCCTTTCTGTCATTGCTCTGGTTAGAGTGACCAGATGATCAAGATACACATCGGGACAGGTTGAAATTGTTGCCTGGTTTGTAGGTAGCCCAAGTTTAGGCGAGTCAATCTGTTTTCACTTTGAAAAAGAACCAAACTATAAATTACCATGATTGTATTTAGAGCTCCAAACAGGACCATATGCAACTTAGCCTCTCCCTGCACTCCCTGTTTCTTCAAGCACCTCTTTCTTTCCTTCTCTCTGAATATTGAACACTCTTGTTGAACATCCTCCAAGAAAAAAATCTCTTTGCAGTTATAGGACAGCAATAGCTGAATATTTCCCTCCTTTTCTTCAGCTCTGCATTCAGGCACCATCTCCAATAGCTGTCATGTTAAAATCAATAATTTACACCATTGAGGATATGGTGAGAAGGGTGTTCCTGTCAGAGGTGTGTGTGCGTGGTCGGCGCCGGGTTTGACAGATGGACATGTGGGTTTATCAGGCGGACCGGCCTCAGCACCGTTATCAATTCCTTAGGCAATTAACGGCTGAACCGGGTGCTTGGAATGCTGGATTTGCACAGATAAGGAGTGATACGAGCCCTGTCTCCTCGGAACCCTGTCTCGGAAACAGGAAATTGTCAAAACACTGGCACTGTCTTGGCATGCTCATGTTTGCATGCTTGATTGAAAAAGACAGTTTAAAGTTTACTCAGGAATGACTGGCCAAGGTACTCATACCAGTATTTTATTTTATTTGAGTTCTCGATATTGGTATTATTCTTATTTGTGTTATTAGTCTTCATATTACTCTTAAGGTTATACTGAGATTTATATTAATTATTAGATTTAGAGTAAGACAAATACTTATAGGAGGACTAA